CGCGACGCGGCGGCACAAAGGAAATCTACAAAGGTATCGATATATTTATAAAGATGGTGGCACGCGGAGACGCTCGGGGCGACTGTTCCCGTCAAGTTTTCGCCTTCAGTGCGAAGCGATCAACAAGTTCTCGGCGACGAGCCGGGCGTTGATTAAATCGCTCGCGAAAACGCTGGTAATTCGATCCCCCGCGACAAATTTCTCGGCTGCTCTCGACGAGCGAGCGAGGCGCGTAACGCGAGAGCGAGAGAGAGAGAGAGGAAGAGGAAGAGAGAGAAAGAAATGGAAGGAAGGGGAGGAAAAGAGGGCGTACGGAGACGCCGAGAGAGGAGCGGATACGCTCGGCCATAAATGGAACTTTCGACTTTCCGACACTCGCTTTCTTCCCCGCCCTTCGCCCTACAATTCGCAAACTATCTTCCGATTCCTGAAACTCTTCACGTGCGGACGCGCGCGCGCGAGCCCGAGCGCGCTAAAGTTATCCACAAAAGACGCTGGATCTATCGTTCGAGTTGTCTCTCGAGCGATCGATCTATCGAGTCGGAGGGATCTTCGCGACTCCGGGGGGGACCGGCCGTGCGTCCTCGCGTGCCCCTCGTACGCGGGGAGAAAAATAAAAGCTTCCCCGCCGATCTCCAAGGATAAACGCGTCGCGAGAAGGAGGAGGACTTCATCGCCTTCTCTTCCCCTCTTAACCCCCTACGGTCCGTCCCTCGATCGCTATCGCACACGCAGCATCGCAATCACTCTCTCTCTCTCTTTCTCTCCCTCGCTCTCCTTTTCTCACCTGATGCTCGAGTATCGCTTTCTGCAGTTTCTGTTGCACGTCGACGATCTCCTCGTGCAGGCTCTTGGATATTTCCATGCTTCCTGGCAGGTGGTCAGCGCGCGGTGCTACGTCCTCGGCGACAACCCTGGCGGCGGCACCCCCGATGCGTCGGCAGGCGGGGAGGGCGACTGGCAAACGCTCCTGTCGAAGCCGCGGCTGCGAGTGCTGCGAGACTGCGAGGCTCCGAATCCCGACTGCGACGAGCGGCGACAACGGTTGCGGGCCCGCGACGCCGTTCTCACCGTCACGTCACGTCACGTCGCGTCGCGTCGCGTCTCCGTCTTGTCTCTCGTGTCCGCCCGTCCGTCCGTCGGTTCGTTAGCTCCGAACTTCGGCCGTTTCCTCTCGGCGGTGCCCGTTGCGATGTTGCGACGGTTGCGTTCGTCGCGAACGCGCCACAAACGGGTTGTCTCTTTCTTCCCCGTTTCTTCCTTCGCCTTCCTCTCTCCTTTCCTCGTCGATCTCTTCTATCGCTCGGATCGCTCCCTCTTTCTTTCGCCCGAGCGCGAAATTGACGAGCTCGCGCGGCGCGGCGCAGCGCACGCACTCACTTTACGCACGCACGATCTCTCACCTCGTACCCCCTTCGCACTTTCCCCGGTCCGCGGGCTACAGGTCGGCGTTACCGAGAATCGCGGCACCCAGAGTCAATCCCCTCGCTCTCGTCGTCGTCGGCGGCGGCGGCGACGCGAGCGTTTTTACGCTGCCATCGGCGCGCTGCGCTGGCCCTCGCTCGAGTGCGCACGGCCGCACCGAAGTTGATCGCGCGCGCCCTCCTCCCTCCTCTCCTCGCCCTGTCCCCCTCCGCCCACCAACGTCCGGCGGCTCCGGCGCCCTTCGCCGACGGCCGTCGGCCGACGGCGGCCGAGCGGCGGCGGAGGCAGAGGCGGCGGCGAGTTTTCGCGCCAAGCCTGCGAGATTCGGTTCTTCGGCGAGGATCTTCTGCGATTTCTCGCCTTTTCTTTCCAGATCCATTCTTCGTAGCGCTACGTCGCACCTCCCACACTCGAAACGAAACGGACACGTATAATTAAACGTCGCAGGGAAAAAGGAAAGACGCGAAAAGTAGGAAGAAAGTTGAGCGAAACCTCCCCTCCGCTGGCTCCGCTCCGAGATCACGTTCTCCCCCGAAGAAAATTCTCTAGATTTGTTTCCCTAGCGACTTTGGCGACTCCGCTCGCTCGTCGCGCTGCTATTGGGCGATATTCATGTGTCAACAATATGGCGCGTCCATTATCCATTGTGATCCGCGGGTGATTGATGGACTGCGATATCTGAATATCCGAACACTCATAATTTGTAAATTCCTTCTGCGAGAAGAAACAGATTTCTAACTGGATTTCGCATAACAGGTGCAGCTCGAATCTCCCATTGTATCCACTATATCCAGCTGTTTCTCACGTCGATTAGATTTTCAGGCGAAAAGGAAACGCGACGGAAAAATGCAACAACCGGAGCTAATAGGAGCGTACTTCGTGCGGGATCGCGTCAGCTGATTGCCATTTAATTCGAACGGACCGAAGTGTTGGTAATCGAGGAAAACGAGACGTTCCTTCACGCGTATGGCTCCAGAAATCTATCGAGATTAGGACGAGGGAGGAAGGAGGAAGTACGGAATATAAGAGCGCACGATTTCAAGTGGCGGCCGGCACTCGATGTAGCCTTGCGACTTGCGACGTTCACCGTTGGATGCCGCGTCTCGAATATCTCGATTACCTCGGCAAGCTCTCTTCCAGTATACGCCACTCGCCAGTATTATCTGTCTCGCGGTATTATCTGTCGATTATCTGTCAACATTCGTCAAGCATGGCTTGACTGGCGTTCGAGGAGAGTCATTTTTCTAATAGTGCGATATGCCCGCTCTGTCGCCGAGTCGATTCATCGAAACCTCTACGTTATCACCGACATCGTCACCGATGACACGTCCACACGTGTATGTACGCAACATGTCTGCGTGGTGCGATTAGCGTTAGTTTCCCTCGCTGTCTCGGAGAGCTTGGACGATCGTCGTCTCTTGCGAGAATATTTTGGAGCTGTTCAGTGGAAGGGACATTTAACTTGTGCAATCATGTTGAAGGCTGTCATTTTAATTGGAGGACCTTTAAAGGGTTCGTGTTGATTACTTAATTGTGAAATAATTATTCCATAATTTGTAAACTTAATTATAAAATAATTGAGCTTGAGAATTGTAGAATCGTTGTTGATGTTAAAACTATGCATAATTAAATGTACATAATAATGTACTTTTATTACTTGAAGATACAATTGATATTGATATTATAATTTTTTAACATTGCTGTTGGATTACGTCACATTTCAATTGTTTCATTAGTAGGCTCCTTTTATTAATTTATTGTGCATATCTTTTGTCAAAACTTTAATATAGATTCATTGAAAGTATACTTTGTTTTCTTGTGTATATGTTAAGTTGTACTTTTGTCTCTTCTTGCAGGGACTAGATTTAGACCTCTGTCCCTGGATATCCCAAAGCCGCTGTTTCCAGTGGCCGGATTACCCATGATACAGCATCACATCGAAGCCTGTACCAAAGTCCCTGGGCTTAACGAAGTGTTGATAATCGGGGCTTATCCCAAGAACGATCTGGCTCAGTTTGTGCAGGAGATGTCGAGTACCTACGGCATAATCATTCGATATCTACAAGAGTTCACGCCCCTTGGAACGGCAGGCGGCATGTACCATTTCCGCGATCAGATTCGTTCAGGCAGCCCGACGTGCTTCTTCGTTATGAACGGAGACGTCTGTGCCGATTTCCCTCTGCAAGAGATGGTGGAGTTCCACAGCAACAAGCGAGCCCTCCTCACAATCATGGCAACGGAGGCGACTCGACAACAATCACTGAACTACGGATGTATGGTTTTGGGGAAAGAGGGAGAGGTGGCGCATTACGTGGAGAAACCCTCGACATTCGTGTCGACTCTTATCAATTGCGGTATATATCTCGCATCTCTAGAAATTTTTCAAACAATGGGAGATGTCTTTCACGCCAACCAGCAGCAAGATCATATAATGTAAGTTTCTTGTGGACTCCCTTAGAACGCAATAAGAGAACATTTCTTTCTTTCTTTCTTGTTGTGGGATTACAGGCAGTTGTGCGTAGGCAATGGTAGAGATCCGGCGCACATCGCATTTGAGCAAGACATCCTGACGCGTTTAGCAGGATCTGGTCGGTTGTTTGCCCTACCCGTATTCAGATGGTGGTCGCAGGTGAAAACTGCGGGCTCCGCGATATATGCCAATCGGCATTACTTGGCCCTTTACAAGCAGAAGCAACCGAGCCGCCTTGCTTCTACGAGCAAAAATCACTGTCACATTATAGGAGATGTGTACATTCATCCATCGGCTAGCGTACATCCGACTTCTGTGGTACGAACTGCGCGGATAAATTGTATTGCTATGATTTTACAAGCTTGCTCTCGTGACATGAGACATTCTGTTTCTTGTAGCTAGGTCCAAATGTTAGTATAGGCCCGTACACGATGATCGAGCCTGGCGTGAGAATCAGAGAGTCGATCGTGTTGGCTAATGCGCACATCCAGGCCCATTCCCTTATTTTACACAGCATCATAGGGACAGGCACCAACGTAGGCGAATGGGCCCGTGTCGAGGGGACTCCGTGCGATCCCAATCCTAACAAGCCATTTGCGAAAATGGACAACTTGCCGCTATTCCACGCCAACGGCAAGCTCAACCCTTCCATCACGATACTCGGTAAAGAAATGAAATATATCAAAACTGTTTCTACACAGTAGCGGCACGCGCGTTGCATTTATATATATTACATTTCAGGTACTAGCGTGAGCTTGGCTGCGGAAAAAATTCTACTGAACTCGATTGTTCTACCGCATAAGGAACTTACGAGAAACTACAAGAACGAAATTATTCTTTAATTGTCTAACTCTAACGACTACTACGAGGCTAGGATAATATAATGGTTTAGATATATTAATGAAAGAGTCGCACAAACGATAAAACGCTAAGTATATAACATACTTTTGGCTGATTTTTATCTGTTGAATTGTGATTACAAATCTTTAATAATTTTGTAACATAAGATGTTAATATAAGATTTTTATATACATTGTATGTGGCAACTGTAAGTTATATATGTACATAGGGGCAATGGCAATGGCACAACATTTTTACAATATACAAGCTTGTACATATATGTGTTTATATGTGAACGTTGTCAGATATATATACAATATATATAAAAAAAAATGTTACTCCATATTTTCGTAAGCATATTAATGCATAATAAATCTTTATCCGTGGATTTTGATTCTTATTAAAAATTACACGTGCGCATGCCGCGGGACGCCGTGCAGGATCGTGCGATGGAGCGAAGTCCCGAACTCGCATTGGCGCTCGTGGTTCGTGGTATCGAGGCGATCGGTACGCGGGAGGAAGAATAACCGGAAAAAATCTGACGGAGGAGCCGGGTATAGGCCGCCTAAGGTGAGGCTCGCTCTCGCGTTCCTCACCGGCGGCGCCAGGTGTTTGTAAAGCGGCTGCGATTATATGCGAGCGAGGAAAGGAGAAAGAGAAGAGGAGGAGAGCCGAGAAGAGTGAGCGAGCGAGCGGTGTGTACGCGTGAGACAGCCGCATTGAATTGCACTGAATCAACAGGTAGATCGGCGGATCGGTATGCGTGGGACGACGATCTCGTACGCGCGTTCTTTCGCCGTGGCGCCGGGATTCGCCGTGGTCTCCCGCGAAAGATGCAGCGCGCGAACGAGCGCGAGACGCTACGACGACGACGGCGACGAGTCTTAGGGAACGGCGGACGACGACCGGGATCGGCCGAGTAGTGGTAGCAGGGAGGAGGAGGAGGAAGAGGAGGGAACGGCGCTCCAGGTGGAAACGCGCGTTCCTCTAAACGTGTGCTCCGCGGCGAATTCCGCGCATACCAACGCCGCTGATCCAGCTTCCCCGCGAGCGGCGGTGGTGGTGGCGGCGGTGGCGGCTGCGGCAGCGTCCGGATCGGGAGAGTGATTTTTGTGATCGCCGTTCTCGTCAATGACACGCGCGGAATGCGCTGAGCGAGCGCGCGATCCCACGCTGCGCTATACGCGCCGACATTGTTGCGCGTCCGCCTCGTTGCGCTGGCTTTTAAAAATCCGTCCGTGCGCGTCCCGACGTCGTGAAGTGCCGTGGGGTGCGTTTTGAATGCGGCGCAGGGCAAACGCGGATCTCGCGACGTCGCGAGAGCGACGTTCAGTTTGACCCCGGCGCATATAACGGACAAATGAGTCCGCCTGTGACATCGAACGTCGTGACTTGTTTATAGCCGTCTTAGCACGAAATACCTATTGGTAATTTCTATTGTATTTCTGACTGTAAAACAATGCACATTTTTCAGTTTTATATATTTATAAAGTTATTGAGAGATACATTAATTTTTAATTGTACGAAAAGAGTATTTTATGATTTAAATTGTACGAAGAGAGTAATTATAAGAGAAGAGTATTTTACCTAGTTTATAAAGTTTAAAGTAAGAAATAGTGCGAAGATAAAAGAACAATATAAAAAGAATAATATAAACCTTTTTATTCTTAATTTATCTTCTATGACTGAAGCTAATATTTTTCTGTTTGAAAGAAATTAATTTTGTTCATAAAAATAAAAAAAATATATATATTACTTTCTCTTTTTATTTTATTTTTTAGTTATATGATTTAGTAAGATATGTAATATTTTATTTACAGGAAGAGGAGAGTAGATTGGTAAAATAAAATAAAAAATTGCTAAATATTCCAAATGGGCAATAAAAGCCCATTATGGCCCAGTGTCATCAACCACAACATCAGCACGAATTTTTGCCCCTGTGTGATGTACTATTTAACATTATTTCATTAGCATCCTATTTCTGCGATGTTGTCTTCGATTTTGCAATGGTATATGCCCTTGCCCATCAAGCTACAGCGTCACCCATATTGTTCCCATTAAGCATCACTTTCATAGCAACTTCTTTGTTAATTTCTCAGGTTTGTATCTAAAGGAATAGATTCTATCTTATGCTTACTATTTTACCGTAATAATTATATATTGTATAATTACTCTTATAGATTGTTAGTTTGCGATGGTACCTCTGGGGAGCTAGAGGTAAATTAACAAACAGCACACCAAACAATTGTCGTGTAAATCCAGTGAAGAGAATTGGCAACTGGACCGTAGGCTGTGTTCTATTATTTCACTCCACTCAAGTCGGTGTACTATGGAGATATTTCAAGTTATTTATCCCAGTCAATTTAACTTACGTGAAGCACGAGGTACGTAGTTTTGAAAAGATGAATATCTTCCCACCGTCTCTTTCGTTTCATTATGATATTCGTCGTCTCAGGTACGGGAGCTTTGTGTATTACGGCTGATACACGCATTCTGTGAAGCCGCTCCAATGCTACTTCTGCAGCTGTACGTCTTGTTCGGCGCTACCGACAGTGGTGAAATAGTAGCCGGGAAACTGAAGGAGAGCGAAGGCAAGGACGCCAGTAAATTAAAGGAGTTGACACTAGTATCGGCGGGACTCTCCTTATGGAGCGTATGCTGGGCGGTCGCGAGTTTCAGCAAGGGTGCTGCGCGTCTACGTAATCTGGAACGTTTAGTGCTAACATGGCTGGGGGTGCTGGCGCAGTTATTCTGGCGTTTGGGGACAGTGAGTGCTCGCGTCGGAGCATTGGTCGCGTACGCTTCGCTGTACGGTGGACAGTGGCTGTTGATCGTGATGGCCCTCCACTGGTTGTCCATGTTGACATGGTTACTGCTCACCCCGGACGGACTCTTCCACGGTGGCGAGCGTCTCCCTCTTTTTAGGAAGACTTTCCTCGCTTCTCTCCTCGCCTTTGTATATATATTTGCTTATGTTAATCTACATGAGACGAATCATCGTCAAAAAATGGTTAGTATAGTTGGAAGATATCAAGGATTTTTACATCTGAAAGACAATTTATATGTTAATGTCATGTTTTCCTTCTCTCAGGTGATATTTTACACTGTAATGTTCTTGGAGAACAGTCTACTCATCGGCGTGTGGATAGCTGGTGTTAATCGTGCCGATCTTTTGCCTCACCAGCATCATCTACATCCAGTTACTCTAGTACTTATTCTACTAGCTTTATTTTTCGGTGGCATGTTTTTCATGGGTCTTTACTATAGGTAAGTGCGATATTTTATTCAATTTTATTTTATTAATATTGGTAGTTGTATTACATTGTGCATTTTTCTTTTTTGTTACAGATTTTTTCATGTGAGAAGATTGAGGTACGAGGCTGGTGGAAGAATGACTGGTTCGAATCTCACCACGCTATCCAATCAGGTATGATACAAGACAAGACGGATCTCTCTTCTCGGAAGCATCGTTATGCAACTTTTTGAACTTTCAGGACAATGCGGAAGAGAAGCAAATAGATTATAATGAAGGGAAGAAGATTAACATTAACATTGGCATGAGGAAAGTTAAATTAAGTAATGGCGGTATACCGGGCGTGTTCAATTGCCGTTTCGCGAATCCAACGGTTGTAAATCCGAATCGCAAGAAGAAGAAGCCGACCAGCTTCGTACCACCACCACCGCCGCAATCGCAAACGGGCACAGTGATAAATTCCGTAGCAGCGATAGGCGATTCAAAACAATGGCTCAACATGGGCAATGGATCGCGGCAATTGATTCCGTTTTGGAAGAAGCCCATATCCTCTAATATAGTACAGGTATATTTTTGACAAATCTATTTGTTGATCATTGCGATATGACTGCTGTCACAATGTAATTAATCTCTTAATACAGAACGATGGTTCCAACGAGCGCAAATATGAGACTGATATGGCGATCGGTGGCTCGTTGAACGTTACGTTAATACGCGAGAAACTGAAGGAGAAAAAGCAACAGCAACTGCGCGAATTGCGAGCGATACAGGAGGAGATTAAGGAGGGTAAATTGTTTCCACCGCCCTCCGCTTCCACATCATCATTTTCGTCCTCTCCTTCCGCGTCTAATCAGCAACCACCACCGAACACGAAATTGCATACCTCCCCGAGTTCGCCTTTATTCACATCTCCGCCGTCGTTCTCCGAGCAGAATGGTGGTAGTGCGTTATCGTCCTGGCCACCCGTGAAAATGCATTGCCTCTTACCCCCGCCACCTTCCTCCCCGTATTATCCCAACTCGCATCCCTCGAATCCGTGGAGAGCGGCGCCTCAACGAGAACGAGCTGACACGCCGGAGATATTACTAGCACCGCGATGCCTTCCGCATCATTATCCTCATTGGTCACCGCCTGGACATCTCAGTCACAGGTAATAAAAGCTCGATCGAACGTCCGAACAATCGAATCCAAATCAAGTCAATTGATTCAAAATTCCATTTTGTCAGATTGCACGCGAATCAGAATGGTGTCGAAGAAAGTTCCAAAGGCAAGGGTGACGGAGAAGCGGAAGTCAGCGACATGGAGGGCAGCCAAGTCTCGTTACCTAGAAGTTACACGCTGCCCCGCGAGTTTAAGTATAATCCTAACAGCGCTGTAAGAGAACGAGAGCGCCGCGCGGGGAATAATAAAATATCTTCCTCACGCTTTTACTTGCCGTCCACTAATAGTTCCGATGGTGAGTGTGCTTCTTGTCTATTTGTCTTAATCATCTATACTACACAACAGAAGTTTTATAAGATAACTCAACCTAATCAATTATGGACTACACTTTTATTAATGCTGACAGTAATTTTTTTCAGGCGATGTAGATAGTGCTGATAACGAGGACGAAACAGACTCGGAGGCGCAAATGCAAACGAAGGCCCATCACGGTCATAATTATGATGAAATTCTGCAGAGGCGTCACATATACGAAAATAATGAGGAGAATGATGCCACTGGGCCTAATGTAGAGTGCGGCGCGTCTAACAATTGCTATTTAAACAATTCCCATGGTGTCCTGCGACCGAGTCAATTACTCAGAACACGAGTGAAACACGAAACAAAACTTTAAGTTATGCTATAACTCGTAATAGCAAATCTTGTCATGCATGAGACATGCGTACAGTGTTCAAAAATATCTTTTAGAATCTCTCCTTTTAAATGTTAACAGTATAAAACTGTTGACCTCGTAAAACGGTATATTTAATGGTATAGTGCATAATACATGCACATCACAAAGATATTTTTTTTGTGAAAGTGTATTAGCATGCAATATAATCTAATATAATCTAATTTAATTTAATTTAATTTTTTTCGTGTTTTGCATAAAATTGTGCACGAAGGAATCACGACCAATCGAGTATATATTTCAGTACATCTTAGGAAAGCACAAATAATGGACAAATATAAATACATGACCTATTGTTGAAATTCATGTACGACGTATATTTTATATAATGCATAGTTACCTGAATATAGAAATCGTACATCCTTCGTTCGTGTACTTATAAAATACATGTATGTATGTAACGATAAATTAACTTTAACGAATGTAAGGTATTATATACTATTTAAAGAGATATATTCTGTTATATATTTGTAAATATACAATCTTGCGGTAACTTGCTGTGTTCTTCTTTATATATCTTTTCTGTGTTATTTTTAAAAACATTTCTTGAAAGCTAAATCGAATAATACCAAGTAACACGGTTACAAGTGTGCTACGTTAGTTTTAAGTAAGGATCTAATTACGTTTTTTGAATTGCACATACAGACCATCAGCTGCATACGTGAATACGTGAATAGCGTCGTTGTCATGTTTTTCATTCGTTTCGTAAGACATAGTATAATTTGAAAGGATAGTAATTAACGCTATTTTGAGAATTAATAGGGCTAATCTCTGTCCGATACATGATCGTGGTCCTATACCAAATGCCAAAGATTCGTAAAATTTTTTGTTTTCTGTCTCTGTTCTCAATGGAATAAAGTTTTGCGGATTGGAAAAGTATTTAGGATCTTGATTCGTCGCATTTATAGAGACATACACCGGAATATCTTTCTCAATTGTCAATCCAGTGCGGGGCAACTAAAAATGATATAATATATATATAATAGTCAAAGAAGCCAAGGAAACATGCGGAGGAACCTGTTCAGTTACTTGTGATGTATTGCTCACCTCATAATCCCTTGTGGTTATCCTATCAGTGACGGGTAGAGGAGGATGTAGTCTCAACGATTCAGCTATAACGCAGTCCAAGAAAGATAGTTCCTTGATCAGATCCATGGTCAAATCTTTTCCCGACAGGTGTGTCTGTATCTCGTTGTATAAAGTGTCTTGGTGCTCTGGATGACGTGCAAGATCATATAGGACAAAGGCGAGCGCGGTGGCGGATGCTTCAAATCCGGCGATGTAAAAACTGGAGGGATGCGCCAGTAAATTGTCGCCTTCAAACTCTACGACATTAATGATTAAATGAGTAATATTAACAAGTCTCCAAATAATCCTCTCAATAATGCTTAAGTCAAGGCAGCAGAACTATATTAAAGTTTTATGATACTATATATTATGTATAAATTATGCGATTGTTATTGTTCAAATTTTAGAAATCATGCAAGTGTGATCTTTACTGTAAATGGGATTCTGTTCTCCATTTTTGAGCGCCAACATGGAATCTATCATGTCTCCTCTCGTAAATGCCAGCTGTTCTCTAGTGTTCATGGATTGCCAGAAAACTTTGCGAAGATAATTCGCGGGCGTTTTGATGAACGGCGCTATTAAAAAATCCCACTCGGGAATGAAGAAGAGGATAATGAATGCAATGCCGCGCCTCAAACCTCTGAAGATGCTCATACCTGCAAATGCGTAATTATCTGATAAACGACAAAACAACAGTATATCTCCTCCTCTTTTAAACATCTATGATTATATACACAATAACGAATAAACAATTTCCTAGCAGATTATAGGTTGTTTGCTGGCAATAGCTCCCATGCCGGATAAAATCCTAGTGCAAATTAAGTCCCACCGTTTTTCAAGAAGGCAGTCTCCTTTTCGTCGAATGAATTTATGCTAATGCCGAACACCAGGGAAGCCAGAACGTCAGTGCTATAACGGCCACTGATGTCCTTCACCTCCCACGTACTCCGTTCAGCCTCGTCCGTCGGCAATTTCTCGATGAAACTCAACATGAGTTTCCCGCACTCCATCATCAGCGGTATCATGTTTTTCAGTTTCTGCCCGGTCAAGACTGGGGTTAGCTTGTTCTTCACGTATTTATATCTGGGCTGCTTCATAGACAAGATACTGTCCAGGCCCACCGAGTCCCTCTCGATGCCTGAACCAAATCGCCGATTCGGGAAGACGTCGAAGTCCTTGATCATCACTTGTTTGATCAGGTCATGATCCCGCAGGAGCAGCATAGGCTTGTGGAAGATATAAAAGCCGATATAGGGATCGTCCGGGTCGGCGCTGTTGTAGATTTCGCGCATTATCTCACCCGGTGGCTTCTTCAGGGTGACGCAGTCCTTGAAATTGCCGAAAAGCAGATGCGTCGGGGGGCTTTTCACTCCGCGCCTACTCCAGTAGGACAGCCTGTACTTGGCGTACAGGTAAAAGAGGCTGAAGGATATTATCAACGCGGTCGTACAGCAAATCAAGCAATCCATCCTCGATGGAATCTTGGTAGTATTTGTCGTTGACTTATATGCTTCGTCCAATTGTCTCCCACTTGTAACTCATCAGAGCTTTGTTACGTAAACACGTGTTCCGAGAAGACAACTACAATTTGTCCTTGTCACAAATAATTTGAGCAAGTGAACTTGAGTTCGTTAATTAAATTTTAACAGAGTAGGAAACGCTGCTTAACACTTCTTCACAGTTAATGAAATAAGCTGCTCGATTGGTATGAGTTATCTGATTCGAGTTTATCTCTAAAAGCATGTAATAACGTGATAATAAAGATATTGATAATTCGTAATATTTCATGTATAAATTTGTTTTTCCTACAAACGTTATTATACTTATATCTCATATCAAAGGTCCGATAAAAGATAAGAAAATGGAAGCTAGGTTCTTATTAAAAATCTACGAAGCATTGAGATGTAATTAGGGACAAGGTAAAATAATTAAAACACAATTCCAAGTATTTCAATTCCACAAACTCAAAACTTTATTATTTCTTTTTTTTTGTTTATATATATTGTACATTATATATATATATATAATTATATATATATTATATAGCTATAGGGACTACGATTACGTGCAGCTATAACAGATTACAAGATAAAATGTATTTTATATTAATAGAATAGAGAGATAACTTATTTTTGTCATTCATAAAGTTTTTTATATGTAAATATTTAATAGTGAAAAAAATTCTCATTTTTTTCTTATTTCTTCTAAATATCATATTTTAGATTTTTATAAAAAATTCTGAAAAAATGACACATTTTTCAAATACTTTTAAAAATAATTGGATGAGGATTTTTGGAATAATATTTCAGTATTTGTTATAAATTTTCGGATTTTCTCATTTTTATTCAGATTTCTATAAAGATGTGTTGACGAAAAAAATCTGGAATATTTCATCGTATTATTTTGTTTGATTGTGAGTTTTTCTGAAAGATGTTCTAATTTGGATAAAAAATCTGAAATCTTTCTCCATCAGGGTTATCATATGTTATCATGTTATCAAGTAATTCACATCCTGTTTCTTCCCCTTCTTTTCTACTTTTTTATAATTATTTGTTGCAATATGATGACATATGACATATGATTCATATGAATGCAAGAGTAGAAGTGCAATTGCAAGGTGTAGAACGAGATCGCTACAGCTGCTTGTATGTACATACATATGTATACATGCATACGGCATACGGTGGCACCCTCGTATGTACCCGCGGACTACGGTACTAACCGAACCGCGGTGCAGCACCATAACCTCCAGGCGGACCTCGGACTCGGAGGCGGAATCGCCGCATTGATCTCTCTTCGATTTCGGCGACCGGCAAACAAAAATTTCATCGTGCTAGAGTAACGCGCCCCGTCGAGCATGCCGCACGTCGTATCGTTATCGTCGAGCAATACGATGTGTTAATTGCGACGTACGATCGTACCGCGAGGGTGACAACGCACGCGAAGAATGGCCTCCCCGAAGCGCGGAGTGCGATGAATCAGTTATTATGTTGCCCTCGACCGGCTACTTCAAAACGATAAATTGCCCGTTTTATGACGGCGGCTCGTGCGACCGGCCCTATTGTCACTTCAAACACGCCAAGCGAGGTAAGAGCGTGCGTCTCGTGGTCTTCCTCGGGGAACGCGATCCCGGGGTCGTCTGACTCCGGGTAGTTTTATGCGCGACAGGATCTCCGCCTCGATCGAGTGAATTTTAAGGAAGGCCCTGCGCGTTGACCGTGTTATTCTTACGTTTCTTGCACGCTGTCGAGTCGTGTAATCATTTAGATTTAGGTAAAATCTTGACTCTGAATAGATTCTTTGTTCGCTTCCTTTGTCCGCTGTATCAAGGAAGACAAAGACTTTGAAAAGTCTAATGAATGATACATTTTCCCCCTGCTACAGACTGTTACGAAATAATTCAATCCTTAATCCCAGAATAGTTTAATTTTTAATATGATTTATTGTATCGTTATTAACTGTTTTATACATTCAATTTTTGAAGATTAAATTGAATATATATTTGTGGGCTGATAATTTAATCTTAGAAGCTTTGGAAAGAAAATTTAGGATAATTTGTTAGACATGCAAAGAGTTTGTAAAAGATTTAAATATTTTGAGAGATTATTGACAAGCTAGTTTATTAAATAACAGTGAATTGTGTACGGATGAAAGATACGTGACATATATATATTTTATACAGAAGATGCAGGCAGTGCAGCAGGAGTGGCCGGCGTGGTGGAGGACCAGACGGCGGGACAAATACAGGAGGACAAATCTACCGGTGTTGTGGCCTCAGCCCCTGACATGTTACAACACCTAGTGACGGAAGCGGTGAAAAAAGTGCTCGCGGATCAGGAAGTCACCGATACTGAGAAGGTTTCACAGAACATCGTATCTCAAGTGGTGGAGGGGCTCAAGCCGACCTTGTCCTCTGGTTCCGCTGCGGCTATACGCAATGCTACACCGAGTATAGGAAAGCACGTTGCGATTCCCACAACCATCACAAAACCGGTTGCTTGTGTTTACAACCCGACACCGATAGCAGAATTGAAGAAACGGCATATACCTGTGGTCTCGTACATGCCGACCAGGGAGAGTAGAGTGGCTGTGAAACGTAAATTCTCACCGGACAGTGCTAAACCATGGTCGAGCATCGTTCGGGAATCGAGCAGCTCTCAAATTATGCCTGAAGTTACGTATAAACCTACCGCAATAGTGAATACAACCGTTCAGGATGAACAAAGTTATGTACCAACAGTTAAATTGGATACTTTCTCGTCAATATCGTACGACGACAGTAACTCGAACGATTATCAGTCTAAATTTAAGGAGGGATATTATCCGAAATCTAAGAAGAGAAGGGAGGAATATGTTCCTAAAAAGATCAAAGCACCATTAAAAACGGTACAGCAATTAAACGATGCCACTGTGAGTCAATATGAGGCTGATTTTGATATGATAGATGAGATCATTACTTCGAATCACGCCACTTCTGTAGCGTTAGGACAAGCAAAAGCGTCGGCCAGCGAGGATTCTCAAGATTATTCTCTGGATATTGAACCCAGGTTCTCCGATGACGAACCTATAGAAGATATATCTACGGACGAACATAACGTAAGTGTAAAAGAGTCGGAACAAACGGAGGATATTAATGAGAAGGAAAAAGAGAACTTGCAACACACAGGAGTTGATACTGCAGATAAACAAACGAGCAATAAAGATAATAAAATACATACCAATCATTACGATGCTAAAACGGGTGATATAAAAAGTAGCGATAGATCTAAACAGCATAAAGCAAGTGACTCGAAAAAATTATTGGAGAGAAGAGAGGACTCTGTAAGGCAGGATACTGATAAAAAGAAAGAGAAACACAAGGATTATAATAAAAGTAAGGAAAGAGACAAGAGAGATCGTCATAGTTCTGATAAGAGGGACAAAGAAAGATCTAGGCACAAGTCAGATTCTAAAGATAAGCACCGTTCCTCCTCTAGCAGAGACAAAGATAAGAGAAGGAGCAGCCGCGATAGTAAGGACTCCTTACATGGAAGTAGAGACCGCTCGGATTCGCGTAAACATAGACATACTTCTCCGAAGAAAGATCGAAATGATCATCACAAATCATCCAGCCAGCGCGACAAGCATAAATCAAGTTCGAATTTATTCAGTTCCAAATCAAGTAAACACACGTCAAGCAAAAGTGATAGGAAGCGTCGTTCGGAATCAAGTCGAAGATCCAGTGACTCTTCCAGAAAATCTAGCAAACACAAAGAAAGCAGTAGTGAAAGGAATTCATCTAATAGATCTGACAGTCCTGTAGATAGTATTCACTCTTTCATTGATGACCACAATGAGATGACAGATGAGATTTTGGAATTATCAGATTCTGATCATGATGTACAAGAAGAGTGCCTAAGAATTTTTCAGGTGAATAATCTTTATATATTTATAATGCGATCGTAAATAATTTTCTTGAGAAGTCTATTTAATGTTTAATTTACATTTATCTTTTGTCACTATATATGTGCCATTTTATTTTTGCATTTTGATTAAAATATGAATCTCGATTAAAGATACTTAAAATTTTCCTGATTTATCTAATAAGAAATTAAAATTTATTAACAAAATAACAATCTTTAATATTTATTTAACGTACGGTCAGTTTATGTTGCATATATATGTTTGTTCTACAGGAATATCAAGCCTCGGACTATCCGAAATTAGTATCAGTTAAAAAATCTTTGAGAGAAGAAACTGAGAACGTAGAAGAAGTCGGTAAGAAAAGAGTTGCGCATCCTTCGGCAGCCACAAGTGTCACTAGACAACTAGGTCCTAGTCAGCCACCAAAAAAACTTATAACTCCGCAACAGAAAATGTACGAGCGATGGCGTTTGATGAAACAAGCAGCGGCTGAAATGGCCGCGGAAAAGGCAACAGAAAAGGCGGCAGCTGGAATGAAGACTCAAGTTACGTCTAAGTCAGCAGATCAGTCTTCGAGTAATGTCACACAACGTGTATCTGTTCACAAAGAACACGTTGAATCTGCCTCATCGATAAGTAATAGTGACGTGCTGCTGAATACAAATGGCAAGTTGAATACATGAGAATTTATATTATTTTGGTCAAGTATTTTAATTTAACCAGATTTGATCCTTAATTCGTTGTTCATATACTATAGCTCTATAATTGAAATAAGCCGTTTTCCCGGCTTATGATTTCATAACTCTCACTCACAACTTTCAATCCTCTAATCAACTTTATAAAACCGAAACATACATGGGGAGAGGGATCGAATTCGGAACCTGATTACGAGTTGATCGCTCTCATACGAAACCATGTTTAATTATATATATATATATTTACCAATATAATAGACTGATCTGTGCCTTTTTATCGAAGAAACGTTTTCTTCTAAAAATCCTAAGACCAGAATGCTTTAATGTTGACGGTCTAGTCGAATTCAATGAACTTGATATAATCATAAACAGGAGCTGCTACTCCAATTGAAGGTCAAAAATCAAAATCATAGTAGGCAAAAGTGTGATTTTTTATAAATATTAAGTGTCTGTGTCTAACGGCTTGACACCGAGTAACTTTGACTATATTAGGATCACTACGAATGAAGAATGACGAATTCGACAAATATGTCCATCCGTACAATTTGCTAATATCATAATGAATCGCGAATCACGAATAATAAATCGTTTAGTGCTAATTTAATATGTATTATAGGTCGCATTCGAATCGCTCACGTCCCGTACGCAAAATCCCTTGCGATGGAAAAGAAAAAGGTCATAGTAACAGCGGGGAAGAGCGGGGATGCTAAGGGGGTAGATAACAAAACGATAGCGCAAACTACGAAGGGCGGTGTACGCGTTGCTCATATACCGCAAGTGGTAAGTTATAATTACACGTTATAATTACACATTAAATATACCACGGTGTAGTCGCATCCTGTTCATATCGAACTTGGATAGATTAGGTATTCAATAGAATTCTATTTACGCAGGTACCTCAGCTCGTGCGTCCAGAACCATTGCAAGTCGCTACCCAAAAGTTTCCCTTAAACGTTCGTCAGTATTATATTAATGTAATGCACGATATATGCGTGCAAATTTATACGAATAACGACGACGCAGCGCAACGAGCCGTCAAAGAAGAACTCGCGTGTCACGAGAGATGCAAGGCGCTCGCGGTATACAAGAATTCATGCATGTTAGCGGCTCATAGATTAAGGAAGGAAGTAGATCAAAGCAACTTGAATGAGAAGTTTGTTGGTTTGAGCTGCGGTATGGTGTCCCATGAAGCTGTTCTCGCCGGCAAGTCAAAAGGTTCTTGGAGTGTAGTCAGAAGCAAGAAGAATGTGACAGATTTTAAAGGACCAGCGCTCTACAACATGCTCAAGAAATGGATTATGTCGGAGCAGGAGCTTAGGGATAACGGATTTCCACGTAAACATCCAGATGATACAAAGGTAAGGAAACAATATAGATAGTAAAATACATAAATGAAAAAATTAGAATTTGTTTAGATTATTAGAAATGAAATAAGATGAGATAGATAATAAATGTAAACTGGTTGACTTCTCCTTTGATCGAAATAACGCAGCATTTTATCTTCAACAAAATACGTCTTATATCTTGCAGGGACATGCGAAGGTGTATGTAACAAATTCGCGGAACCAAACCATTTTGTCAAAAGTGCCTAATGAAAGAATGTGCAGCCGATGTGGCCAAGCATATATGATAAATAAACAGGGCCTTGCTGTGCGGCAACAAAATTGTATATATCATTGGGGCAGGAAGTTTACAGTTAGAGGAGAAGGCAAGTACAGTTGTTGCCAACAATACGGCTCTGCTACTGGTTGCTGCGATGCAAAAACGCATGTATGGGACTACACGGATTATGAAAATCTTCGTGGTTACGTTAAAACTTTATCAAAAGGTATTTTCAGGTTTTTACCTTTTTTCCATGTACTTAAATCTTACTTTTTTTCCATGTATTCAAATGTATCATAATAATTTTTTTTTCTATGTGCAAAAGATGGTCCTATCGACGAGCAAGGTGTTTACGCACTTGACTGTGAAATGTGCTATACTACACAAGGTTTGGAACTAACCAGAGTGACGATTATTGACGAAGATTGTAAGGTGATATACGAAACGTTAGTCAAGCCGCAGAACCCAATAATTGATTACAACACAAGGTAAATTATGATAAGAATTCTAAAACTGATTAGATGTGTATTTGAATGTTATTTAGGCTGCGTTCCACTTAACGCTCGAGCGTCGTTCTATCTTTGTTACTTACTGAAAGTTGAACAAGGACAGAGCACGCTCTTTGCGTTAAGAGCGTGGTTCTGGAACGCAGCTTTAAAATATAAGCTGACAAAATATTGATTTATGTATACGATAGTAATTTTCTATGATACGATAGGTTTTCAGGGATCACAGAAGAAGATATGAAGGATGTGACAACGAGTATTTTAGATGTACAAGCTACGCTCCTCACAATGTTCTCAGATAAGACAATCTTAGTGGGTCACAGTCTTGAAAGTGATTTTAAAGCTTTAAGGCTGCTCCACGATACAGTCGTAGATACCAGCGTCATGTTTCCGCATAAGAACGGATATCCGCAAAAAAGGGCGTTGAGAAATCTCTGTTCCGAATATCTCAGAAAGATCATACAAAATGATGGTAAGTTCAATTTTTCACATAAGAAAGACAGAAGAATATATATATGTATATAATTTAATAATAATTAAAAAAACATGTAATAATTTGTATTTTAGTTAGTGGTCATGACAGTAAAGAAGATGCCGTCTCTTGTATGGAGTTAATTCGCTGGAAAGTCAAGGAAGAAGCAAAATTACAATAAAATTGCTCGTAATTTGTTAGGAATAAATATTATCACAATTGTTGTACGTTAATTACAACATGTTTTTCGCTTTCGCGATACTATTGACAAGGTACTGTTAAAGGCGGCTAGCCCTGAGTAAATCGACTAGTTTTGTGATCGAGTGGTCCAGGAATAATTAGAGAATATAAACATTAATATTATTTGTCCGTCCGATATAAATATTTGAACGATTAGCCTATGCAGTATTTAATTCATGATTTATTATTTTTCATAGATAAGCATATATATTTGTCATAATAATAATATCATAATAACTGCATTTATTTCATGGTTACAATTAGGTCTTTTTCTTGTTTGGATGATCGAAATTTTATGGCAAAGATATTGCATCGTAAATATGCGCATATATGTATATATTATATATATCTAGAAATATATATATCTAGATAAGTTATGAAATAATGAAATGAGAAATAATAAATTATTAATATATTATAAGCTAATTGTTCAAATTTTAAGTTACTAAAACCTCCATAAGTTGGCCTTTAATAATACCTCGTCAATGTAGACACGCGCTGGCCAGTAATGTCGCGCATACCTTACTGCCTGCATACTGCGCATATTTTATATACTGTATTATATCTTGTGTATAAATATGTAATATACACTCATTGTGCCCTCGACTTAGGATTTCCTTTCAAACTAAATTTTGGTATCTAGCTATTAGAATTATATTCGCGACATCAATTCTCGTCAAAATTAGAACGTAAAAGTCATACGATAATGGGTGCGTTCCACTTGAGCGCTCGCAACGCTCTTAGAATCATTTCATCCTTGTTTGTCAAATGTTAAACAAGAATAATGCTCACGAGCACTGTGAGTGCCAAGTGGAACGCATCCTATAGAGTCAGCGCAGAGAATTTCATCAATTTCGACGTGCATCACGACATTTTGATTAATATTTTTGTACTCTCCCTTATATTTTGCTTATTTATATTTTGTAGCATTAAAACGAGATACATTGCTTCTATTTATTTACCGATCCAACCTTAAACCGTAAATCCATTTGAAGGATCAACAATAAATTAAAAGCTTATTAATGATATTGTACGTTTATATATAAATCTAATAATAGATAAATATATTTATTTTTTATACTGTAATTGAGTTTATGCATTACTGAACAATACATTTATCCCTTAATTGAAGTATTGAAAATAAGAATTACACACTCACACATACACATTAATATATATGTAAGTAATATATGTGTGTGTGTATACATGTACATATATGTATACAAATGTATATATATCTAATTATTAAATATCTTAAAGAATTATTTAAAATAGAAAGTATAATTGTAACATATATTGTATATATTCATTCCAATTATAATTACGTTTCAAATAATATTGAAATATTTACAAATATTTCTCTCTCTTTATAAGACAATTAGATAAGTTAATAGTTAAATGGGTCAAGCAAAAGTTGGATTACACGTCTTCCGAAATCCTCGAAAAATTATTAGGCTTTGAGAAGAGTTAAAGAAGTGGCAAAAATTAAGTTCAATTTAAATTTTGTGCTCTTTAGATAATAATAATGTCAATGTCGATAACTATTAATAAAGTAGTCGATTATTTTTCCGATTGTAGGTAGTTTTTCCAAGTTTAGAGCCAGTTATTTTTTCAATTGTCGGTAATTATTGATAATTAACTAAAGAGCGCGAAATTTGAATTAAATTATCTCTTGTAACCTCTTGTTATAGTATGGTCTCCTAATAACTCTGACGATTTTTCGAGGTTATTAAAAGACACATCCCAAACTTGCGCTAATCTAATCTCTTATCTAATTATCTTGAAGAGAGACGTAAATTCGTGTAAATAAATACATTTACTTTAGACCTTTAAACATTTTAAAATGCAACTCAAAATAAAAGCAATAAAACAATATACCTATATTATAGTTATTATATATATTTCTTAATTACACGTTAACATGCTTATTTATATTTTAATATTTTAATCAGAATCAAAAGCAAAAAGGAATGAATATAAGTATTATTGATTCTATTATTGTCTGAATTTACCGAGTTCTCTAATGCCTCGTTATACGAAACGAATATCGTAAAAGTTATGTAAAAGGAAAGTCAGAGGAAACGTTTTTTGCGTACATTTTATTATACATATTTTACAAAATTACATCTCGGTGAGATCTACGGTGAGATCTACGTCAAAATATTTCTCGAACATTATGCTGCTCGACCACTTCGTGTTTAACAGTTAATGACTTCAGCTGGACGTCAGGCAATTGCCGCGCGATTATCACTGCGTTACGCTCTCCTCCTCGTCGTGGAATTCGTGATTAATGCCGTGTAATGGACTACAGACATCGTCAGACATAATCTGCGACGTCGATCGGTAACGATGCGGAGTGCCTATCTCCCGTTTCCTTTTTTTTTTAACATTTTAAAACGTAGACTTAACGTAGACAGGAACATTATTTCCGAAGTACGCTGCTCGATCCCCTCGTCGAAGTATTATCCAGTTTTATTGTTCGCAAGACACATACACGGGGTGTCGTATACAAAATATTTCCTTTCTCCTTCTGCCGCTTGTACGATTATTGTCTTGTACGTTCGTCGTTCTAACTTGCGGAATAAACGCTGTGTTTCGGGCTGCGGATAAAGTTTAAACGACTATATGCGTTGTCTCTAGTCGCCGTCACGTCGAGACGAGGGTTTGCAATCGGGCGATCGAGTGGCAGCATACGTTCTCCTCCGCGATATCTCTGTTCTCCTTTAAAAATTTCACGAGCAGCGAGAGTAAAATGGTTTAAAATATATATAGTTTTTTTGTCATTTTTATTTGCAAAAGTCGGCTTTGTACAGAGGGATCTTATAAATTCCCTTCAACTTTTTACACATACAAAATACTTTACACATCCGTCCTCAGATTGCATATTTATTGTCTGCGTATTTATAGCACGTTTGTTCATGATACGATCATTGTGCTCGTCAGAACTAACAACAGAACTAACAAACGTATATAAAAAAAAAAAGAGAAATACACATATATTATTTTTTATATAAAATAAAGCGAATAATGATCACTAGATGATGCTACGAGCGATAAAAGTTAATTTTTTTTTAAAGTACTCGACTGCATAATAAAACGCATATCATTTCAAGAATATCGCTGCGAGAATTCACGAAAAAAAATTCGCGAACGCATTTTTTCTTTCTTCCTTTTTACAGTTTACTTAAAAATCTCGTTTCTACTGCGTCGACGAAACTCATGAAGCAACTAACCGCGAGTGAAGATGATTCGACAGTAAACCTCAAACGAATTCATGCACTGTTAAATCACGCAACCGTAAAACGTATCGTGTGATCCTTTTCTTCTTCTTTTTTTTTTAATTAGAGTAAGTGCACTGTGCTATCTTAATCGGATCGACTTGAACGCAGTTCGCGAGAAGACACACGCGTGCCGAAAAAGCGGAATGTTCTGTCGGCGGGATCGGAATATACCCGCCGTGTCTCAGCGATTCCAGGCAACGTCGTAAAAGCGATAATACTGAACGTGTGTGGGCCGAAAGGCGATGTCGACTTGGACGTGAATCTCTCTCCCCCCTATCGCAAAGACTAAATATTAGTCTTTGACGCGGCGCCTATAAAACATACGTAACGTGCGTAAAACACGTACGTTACACGGTAATATGTACACGGAAATATAACGACGCCTCTCTTCGTTCCCTTCCTCCCTTTTCATCACGAATTATCCTAATTTACAATACTATACAGCCTATCGTCCGCGTGAGCTGTGACGGACGCACCGAGCGAAATTAAATTATCGACCGAAGTGTTGCTTACAATTTTTCTGAACACAAAAGCGTATTGTACTACATGTTGCAATCGTGTCAGGGTGCGAATTAAATCGTTCACACGACGTCAGAGATAATCGTCAACGGGACGTTAACTCGTAAATGCAATCGGTTTTCAAACACCGAGCTCATCGTTGTCTCCCCTCGAAGCGATGCTATTCGTGCACAATTTCGCCAAGGCTCATCCTTGCACCCTTTGCGCGGACTTTCCAATCGACTAATGACACCTCGATATAGGTGATCGAGTAAAATTCGTGGATTAATTTATTAACAACTGCGCACTCGTCTCTATGTCAGCTTTAGACGCTAAGCTTCAAATCATCGCGTTTGTTGATTTTTGTCTACAAAATCTCTAGAATCCGCTTGAATCTTTGAAAAATACAATAAATAGTGCTAGTAAATCTATTTGTTGTACGAGATTTTGCTGGCTCTCGTACTCGCGATAACTTACGTCATCGACTCGATTTTTAACCCGATAATGCGTTCTACCTTTCAGGCAATTGTTCTCTAGATCCGAAAAATGTCCCATTAATAAATAATTCAAAAGATTAAAAAAAATCTTGGAATCAGTTATTTGCGTAAGGAAGACCAAATTCCGATCAAACGCACCGCAAGTGTTAACATAGAACCTTTATGCGGCGAGTATTTCAGGCTCGAGTAAATCTCCGAGAGCTTCTCCAAAACTTCCAAAAATAGGTCGTGTGGCAGCTTCTAAATACCTATCTAAATTTCGTCGTATACAAAGGCAACTATTCGAAGACACATACGTGTTGGTATTACGATTACACGTGTTTTTTTATTTACGCGTGCTCCGTGGAAGAATCATAATTCTCGCTGAGAGCCCGAGGATAAATCAACTACGGAGTCCTAACATTAAATTGCTATTGCAATTCCCGCGATTGTAATTCAATATGCGACTTTGTGAATTATTTCTGACTGTTCTTAAAAAATACGGCAATCTCTCCAATTTTTTACTTGCAATACACCGAAAAATTATGCTTTAGGTTCTTGAAATCCTTAAGTTCCAAGGCTAGCGAATTTTAGGCTTTGTGTCACGCGCTCGAGAGATATTTCATCAAATATGTATTGCCGAAGAATCCTCAAAATTATTGCCGTTGCTTGGTAAACTTGCTAATTAAATTACCTTTTTTTATCGGCCATTCTTGAAGAAATTAATTCTCGAACTTTAGGCTTGAATTCCGGAGATACGGTTATTCGGAAAGATTTCATATTTTAAAATACAATCGTAATTTTTAGATAGTCGACGAATTAATTTGCCACGTGCTACCGACCTTCTGATATATTAGTAGCTAATTAAAACCTGAGTAACGCGCCCGCTCGGCTTGACAAGGTATTAACGATCGGTCACTTGTATCTTGCATCCGTAAAAAATTTATGAATTATTAAGTATCGAGATATCCGCATCGATAATGGAAATAAAATTCGACCGGTTTTCACAAAATGCGAACGATACACTCGATACCTCGCTTTTAATTAATTCTTAGCGAACGCAGGATATAAGTGATGAATTATTAATGCTTTATCAAGTATAATACCATTGCGACTATCCGTCCGTGGGACTCGTCGGCGGACTGGCAGATCGACGATTGGATTTGATGGAATATACTTTCAGACGACCACAGCCTCGTAGGAATGCCCTTTCGGTCCGACAGTTCTAACTTGTGCGTCCCGCCCGCCGAAGAACGCTATAATTTGCGACTTCCTGTAAAAAAAATCCAACACGTCGTTCGAGCGTTTGTAGATAAGTTGTTCAGTCGGTTGGGCACGCGATAAATCGATATTTCAAACATTATAACTGTGAAAGTTCAAAGATAGCAATCTTATCTTTGCTCTGTGAAAATCTTCCCGACGTAATCGATTTTTAATGTTATTATAATGGAATTAATATCACAGTATTCCTGGAAATATAATTCCAACTGTGGTGCAATTACGGTGCATGCAAATAATAAAACTAGCATGTCAAAATTATCATGATTGCCTTCAGTCACGCTCGTAGTCACGCAAAAATGAATCTTACTACGGTCAGGGCGCGTCGAAATCTTGATCTCCGACCAGGTACAGAAATTGGAAGGCAATCGCTAGCAGGCTGATCCCGAGCAAGTCACCCATCGAGGTCAGATACGGGATCGCCGAGTTGTCGGGATCAATCTTCCGCTTCCACATCCAGTGGATCATTATGTAGGCGATGTAGAGGAGCGCCGCGACCTGCAGCATCGCCGCGCAGAGGTAAACGAAGACGAAGAGCGGCGTCATCGACGTGTTGCCGTCCTTCATGTAATTGATCAGGTAAATAAAAATAATGTGGCCCGGTATCACCATTGTCATCAGGACTCTCGTAGTTCTGGCGTGTATACCTGAAGAGACAAGGCAATGAAAAACCCGATAATTTTGATAATTTGTCAAAGACCGAAAGAGAATACCTTTCCCGAAAAAATTGGCAATTGGGGTGATGAAGATGACGGGATGCGTGAGGCCCGGTGGGATTAGAAGCGTGCCGAGTTCGGCCTGTTTGTGAAGCGCCGTTGATATCCTGCTGGCCTGAACGGCCACCAGGTTCCCGCCGACGCCGTTGATGACCGGCTGAAACACCGTCAAGTTCTCGAAGCGCGACACCATGAACTCCAGTATGAGACCGCCACAGCTGTGAAAAATTTTGCATTTATAGATTCTTCTTTATCTCAAGCTGTACTTGAAATGCAATAAAGATCGAATAATAGGCCTTTGAACGATAACAATTATTTACTTCAAGATCGAAGAACTTGAGAAACGCTCTCTTTTTACCTGCTGATCAACATGGCCACCATGACCGGCGTCCAGCCGAAGTAGAGCACATCGTTGGTGTACTTGTTCTTTTTGGCGATCCATACCCAGAGCGGGGTCACGAGGACGTAACAGGCTATGACGAGGGGTGCCACCCAGTCTTGCTTGTCAATGGATTCGTAGAGTATAGTGGCGATCCATGAGAGGAGTGCCAGCGACGTGATGTCGCCGAGACTAGCGGCTATCGGCGTGGCCACGTTGTCCGGATTGATATGGCAATGACGGGAGAAGACGATGACGCCCGCGGTAATAAGGCCCAGAACGAAAGAAGCAAGAGACGCGGTGACCAAACTGCTGGCGCATAGTAGATAGGCATGGTCCAGGGAGACCGTGCCGTTGCGGAAGGCACCCATCACGATCGCCACCACGGAACCCAGGAAGCCCACCACTATCGCTTGACACTGCGCACAATTAGGATGATTTTTAACCCTGAGTAACGAACCTCCCGATAAAAACTTGATGGCTAAAGAGAAATTAAATTTCCTCGCTTGTTTTCTTCAATTTTTCTAACGATTAAAGTTATTGAAACATACCATGTTGAAAATCAGGAGTCGTTACTCGGCAAAGAAAAGTTTTTCAGCGAAGTTTAATTTAATAAACCGTCAATAAATATATTTATTTAAATAGATATTTCGCAAAATATTTTCAATGCCGGAAAAAAATTGAAAAAACAGTCAGCCATGAGTTGAAAGAGAATTCCAGAAGGTTTGGAGAACTTTAGTAATACTGGGAATTTTATAATCTACATTATATTAGCATAATCGATTGATTTGTATTGTAAACTCATTGTTTATCTACCGTTTGATTGCGATAATTCTTTACACATTTGGGGAATCATCTTTAATTTTTACCGTCGAAAATTTCAAACGTCTGATCCCGTATAGATACCGATTTGTTGAAGTATACGTGTCATTTATCGCGCGGCGTGTCTCGTGAGGTAACCAGCTCGTGCTCGCACACGACCATAGGATCATACGGTAAACAGTCGGCTTCCCGAAGGCCGTCGTCTATCATCGTCGTTGTGAGCGTTGAACACATAATAAAATAAAATCGTGGCGCCAATGATAAGACGGGCGGAGCGCGTGTAGCTCTCAATTCGTTAAATCGAGCGGCTAGGAGAAACGTTGCTCGCTTTCCCGGAATCGTGCCGTCGGCTCGTTTCACAATTAACTGCTAACCACGGGTCAAATTGTCCGCGTCGTTTCGCGGTATTCTCTGCCAATTTACGATTTCCAGGATGTATCGACAATGATGTCGACAGATAGCATGGATTTGTCGAGATTTGCGGGTTACGGCAATTTCGTCGGTCATCGTCAGTCGGCGGAATCGTGAGAGCCTCGCCGATCGCCGCTGGAAATTCGCGAGACTGAACTTGAACCCAAAAAACATCTAATTCCGTGGATATATTGACGTTAGATGATAAGGCTGCTAGATGATAAGAACCCGGGTGATTAATAGCGTAGAACTTTTCCGCGTGTTACGTCGCATGGTTGTTGAACAAGACGTGGCGAACGTTTGCATTTTGAGGAGTCGAGAAGTCGAGTAGGCCGACCAAGAACAGAGAGATTCCAGGAGGAAAAATACACGGCGCCAAAGCGAGCCAATATGCGTTTCGCAATGTATTCGGCGGAATTAAGTTAGGAGTCCCTCGTATGACAAACGGCAAATATCGGTGTTTAATTGTGGAACATCTAGTTAGAACCAGTTTCGCGAAAGTAAACTCCCGCGGCTGAATGCGAGCATCCGAGGTAGCGCACGTGGTTTGCTTTTTAAGACTTTATGCGTGCCAAAAATAACGCATTTGGCGTGCTATCGATAAACCTCTGTTATTTCATACAACTGTTTACTTTAAAGGCGAAATAGCTGATAAAATTGCACCTGTGTTGATTATCGCGGGAGAGACGCGAATCAATCGTTTCTTATTGGAAAAATTAGTACAATTCAGTCCGATCGAATCAATGACACTTACTTGTATTAAGACGAGATTCCCGACGATCATGTGCCATTGCTCCTTCGGCATGTCCATGTGTCCGAGATTCGCTTGAGTAGAAAGACGCGACGCCAGAGTCATTTCTAGATTACCTTTCAAGCCAAGAAGCGCCGGTACCAGAATCATAAGCTCGTTGACTTTCTCGAAGACTACCCAGTGCTGCAAGAGGACACAAAAATTCATTGATCAAATAAAGTTAATATACTATCAAAATCATATCAATTTAAAGTTGATTTTACATCTCATTAATAAAATAAATAGATCTAAAGATCAAATTCTATAATTAATTTTAAGCAAATTCTGTAAATAATTTAATATTTTATATATTAAAACATTCGACACTATACAAATAAAAAAAATTGACACTAAGTTCATCAATTGGCTATATAGCGGCTATATGAGTTGGACGTTCTATTTAAGAACATGTTCGCGTGTTATCGAATTGATTTCTTATATTCCTATGCTTCGTAAGGTATTTCCAGAGAATAATCGTTGAAGACGAAGGTTTGTCATGACAAAGATAAATTTCGTTCGTACTTGGACGAGATCGAGGACTAATCCGGCGCCCACCATGCCCAGCCCGGCAATGAGGAAGGGTATGAAAACCTGGATGGTGATCGCCAAGTACGATTCGACCGGCTCGTCTTCTTCGGTCACGCCATAGATCTTGCTCTCAGCGACGACGTCCGGCAGCCGGCCGCCATCGATGCCCTCGTCGAAGATGGTCACCTCGAGGCAGTCTTCGGTGGCGTGTCCACCGGAATTCACCGCTGCCGCCTGTCCATTAGTGGTTGTGGTGGTGCTGGCGGTGGTGGTAGGGGTGCTTATGGTGTCCTTCGACTCGGAGGTGGTCCGCGAGCGGCCGTCGGTCGGTGTCATCCTGTGGGAGTTCTGCTTCTCCGGAAGCAGGGGCTCCTTACATTGCTCACTGCCGACAGAAAGGAGATCTCCGCTCTAGTTAAACATTTTTTTTCCCGCGCGAAATACCAGAGAGTCTCATTAACCCTTTGGCTACGGTCGTTAATGGGTAATAAACTCGAACCGTTACGGTTTATCAGTACCTATTGGAATGAAATTGCCAAATGCCATTTTGCGGTAACGGAATGATGGAACGTTACGTTGCGACCGTAGAACATTCGTCTTTTCGACTTCACAAACTCCGCAGAATAAGAATTTGTTAATATTGATATTATTTGAAAATTGACGTGAATCTTAGAACAGCACTTGATAAAAGTTTTTTATAACTTACACATAATTTAGCAATATTCTATTTGTGACAAATAGATCGTATTTCATTTTTAGAAACCCTTATACGCTGATCGATCATTAATCTGATTCGATCAGAAGAATTAAAATCGCGCAATTATCTTGAAAAAAATCCACTCGTCTTTAACAATACAAAATTAAAAAAGAAAGAAGTGACGTTGATTGAAAAGTGGATTAAGTGATGCGAAATGAATCGATGCCGGATGAATGAGCGCATGATGCAATCGATCATCGTAAATCATGCACGTGCGTAAATCCACAATTAATTCCACCACATAATTCCTCTTTAATTCGCGGTTAGTTTAAGTTCCATGCCGAATGCCGAGCACTGTCACCCGCTCGTCGCTTCTTGACATTCGAGCGAGCGCGCCGATTCGCGTTTTTCAACTCGACATTTTGAAAAAATTGTATTTATTTTACAATCGAGAGACCGAAAATTTTTCACACAATACTTTCCAACGTACTTTTCGAACTTGACGCCGGTATTGGTAGTCTGGAGCGACTGTGGCTTGTCAGGCGGCACTCGTACCGGATGTTGATGCACCTGGCTCTCTATCATCTTCCTACTGAGGGCTGTGTGATACTCGCTGCCGCGAATATACAACCATTCTCCTTTGAGAATGATAAGATTCGCGCCGCCGACAACGACGCTGACGGCGGTTGTATTTCAAGACACAAATAACGTAAATTACGTAATTATGCCGCGGTACAGCAACTATCTTTCTCTTCTCTATCTTTCTTTATCTCTCTCTCTCTCTCTCTCTCTCTCTCTCTCTCTCTCTGATTAGATATTCGTTCAGGAACTGCTGTTAATCACGGCGAAAATCAAAATGTGAATCATCCAGTGACGTGCGGATCGAAGAAAGGTGAGCAGCCTCTTCCTATCTGAGGATCACTGCCAAACACAATCGTCATGTTAATCTAATTGCGAGATTAGTGGAGCACGTGGAGTATAAATTAATTAGGGTTTCTTATGCCCTTTTTCACCAACGTCGTTTAACTTGAACCTTAGTTCAATTCATTCTTTGTCTCTTTCTAACAGTCTTCCTTAGAAACAGACAAAGAGTGAATTGAACTAAGGTTCAAGTTAAACGACGTTGGTGAAAACGGGCTTTAGAGTCGCTATTCAAAAGATTCAAAAGTTTACTCGATATGTAAGCGCGTTAGATAAGCGGTAATTTTCTAATTGGAGCAAAATGACACGTCTAAAACATAATTGCTTTCACAAAGTTTATATTTGTCACGCAAACTTTGTCAAATAATTTCCAGGGAACAGATTCTTTGCCACATAAACTTTACATCACTCTAAAGATTCACCTCCAAGTATTTCCTAATTATCATAGATCGAATTCTAATTACTCGCGATTCGATTCTGCGATTTGATTTTATTCTTAGATAATTATCTAATCTTCAAATCACACTTACGAAACGATATCGTGAAAGGTATTGTCATGTGTGCGAAGGCACTTCGACTAAATGCTTCCGTGATTTTGCGTCGCGTGGGTACTTATCATGTGTATCATGCAAATAGTATCGCGAATAGACGCGTTTCACACACATCACGTGTGCTTCTAATTAACATGTAACACGTTCAATTTCCTCCCACTTGAGTTCCGCCTCGGAAGAAATCGCGATAATCTGTTTATCCCACTGTATCTCACTAACGCACGCGTGTGCTCCATTACGTAATTAAAATAATTTACATAAATGACGTTGATTAGTTATTCGCATCGCCGCGATCCATTTAATTCTCCATTTAATTTTCAATCAAATTTGTCGATCGAATCGGATTAAGTTTGACGTCAGATTTTCGGTTATCTGTGTCTGAAATCCACGGATGCGCGTTTCGATATCGTTGCAAATGGGTATATACGTCAACGACGATAACGATGTTCAATCGTGCGGTGACCTTACGCGTGGAAATTGTAACCGCGAGAGCCGCTTGATTAAGGCCAAATCGGCTGTAATGTTACCTTCGTAATCTTAACTGTAACATCGATACCTATAAAGACTATCACGCTCTAGAACTAGAAAGAAAGAAAGACGTCCTATACGATAAGTATTATGACTGAATAAATAAACAGATAAAAACTTTATTTATTTTAAAATTGAATATTTAAGCGAGAAAGTCAACGACCAAATTATGAGCATAATGAGGTGTTGGTTTAAAATAAAATCGAGTTTATTTACAAGAATATAATAAAGACATTTGTAAATAATTTCGATTTTATTTTAAACCAACACCTCATTATGCTCGTAATTTGGTCATTGATTTTCTCACTATAGTTTTGCTTATTTTGAGCGTTGATACTTAATTCTTTATTAATTGGAATATTTAATTTTCTAGTCCAATTACTGTTTATTCATTATTCTTTGTGATCCGAAGATTAGAAACGCACAGCTTCTCAAGATCGGTTCTGTTTGATCGGTATATTTTTTTGCAGAGGTGACACATTTGATTTTCCTTCGTCGTCAAATGAAGAGCACGAAAGATTTAATCGCGACAATCAAGATACAACTAGGCCGCCGCGGCCGGCCTGATCAATAAAGATCAATGTCGTGTCACCCGCGCGACGATCAACCGCGGATCGTGTATTCATTGTCTGATTAGCTGTACTTTGCGTCATGCATCGACCGGTTAGCGGCTCTGGAAAGCACGTTGCATCGCGCGAATCACACGAGTTCTCGTGACCTTAACCTACGTGCAATCAAGTCTCTCCTCGTCGGAGAGCTTCGACGGAGCGCACGGATGCTATCTGCATCTCACGTCCTTCGTCCGTCGCGGTTTCCCGAATAATCGAAAAACAGATAGCAGGGAAAAACGCATTTTCAAAGACGCGAGTCCGACCTTCGTCCCGACGATGCCCCTGACCGGTTCTCATTTTTCTCGCGCTTCCGATTGTAGAAGGGATCTTCGGAAACGCGATAACAAAACTTATCAGCGGCTACTTGGGAGTCCGAGATAACGATATCGCGACATATGTCTCGCCTCGTCAAATTGGATTCAGCATCATGCGAGGTGATGCTCTGAAGAGAGCGAGGACTTTGATTTGCTAGCGATTTAATTCATTTTTCTAACACCTAAAAAATACCAGCGAAAAATTAATCGGGACTTAGCTTTTTAAATTTCAATATTTATACCTTCTAAAATAATTTTTTAAATTCTTAAAACGTGAATTGTTATAAAACTGACCTATTCAATTATTCTTTCTCTGTCGCTTTAATTCTCCTAAGTCTGAATCGCGCAAGATTTCATTTGAGTGCTGACTTGTGTCAGCTGTTACAACCTGCTCATGACTTAAAATTTTTAGTAACGCGCGAGAATTAATCTAAGCCGATTGAACATTAGTCCCTGGAAACTCTTTCGCTGAATGAAATGAGATTCGCGAGATTCGTCTTTAAAATAAATCGTGCTCCTTCGCCGAAACGCCCAGTTGGACCGGACCAAAATCCGGCTTCTCCGAATCCGGCTGTTCCGTCCCTTCGCTCGTACCTGGATCCTCAGGCGTGGTCCCAGACGGACCCCCGACGTTCCCACGAGACCCACGTTCCCGTCGGGCCCACCTCAGTGTCCAGGTCGCTGATCGCCGGCTTCGTGGTCCGGGTGATTGGCTCTTCGGCACGAGATCAGCCCACATCCAGCATCTGATGGTGGTCACCCGGTGGCCTGGTGTGAGGCCGTTTCACTCTGCGGTTACATCGCGACTGATCGCGATCGCGCATCGTACTCGCGTGCATGCATGCCTCCTTAAAACTAGTTTGGAGACACACGAGCCTCTGTCTGTGTGTGTCAGCGGCGCGCCGGAGGGAGCAAGCGCAAGTTTATCGATCCACTGTGACTTCCCAGTCACAGACCATCCGCAAACTCCTCGCGGCCGTACCGCCACTCTCCGGTAACCTGTGCGCCAATGGCGAACCACCCCTAGAACCCCTCTAGACGGCTCCGGAGAAGGGTGTCTTTCGCGCTCCGAGTCCCAACGTAACGTTACTCGTGTCGGTCCATTGTCATCACGGTTGCGTCATCGTTTCGTTTAAACCGCGCTGTGTAATCCAATGATCTCGCCGCCCCCGCCTCGAAGTCTTCGTCATTTCCAAGAAGCCGCCCTCGCGTTTGAAATCCTAATGACGTCACTTTGGAAGCCCCCGCGAACGGTTGCGTCATCGTTTCGGTGCATCTGATGCGCCTTCACTGCATTAGCTATAATCTTATTAAGTCTCGGATTTGTCTTTAATCTGCTCAGTAATCTGTAAGATTTGTGTCTTGGTGTTTGAAAGCATCCGAGTGACTTTATCTTTCGCAGTGTTGTTACAAATCGAGTTAAGCTCGTTAACGCGATTTCATTCTTTTCGGATCTCTAAGACAAGGGCTTGCAGAGGGATATCATTTTTTAACTATCTGCAGAGATTCCTAAAAAATCCATATTCGATGAGTAACGTTCAATGTCTCTTCTTGCGCGTGATACCAGACACGTGGCGATTGCATAGGCATCGGTTACGTCATCGATGCACAGCTGATGTATACGGAAGCTTCTGGTTCATTCATAGGATTTACGGCGCATTACACGAGAGAGTTGCACAATCATCTCCGTTTCGCATGATTTTCGCAGCTTATGGACGACTCGCCTTTATGCGCTGTAATTTGATGGTGGCAATAATTTACCTTAGCAATATTCTGCTAATTTTCATTTTGTACACCGAGTCCATTAGAGCGATATACCAGATACAATTATCGATTACGCGTGTTCTGCAGATTATGAAGTAATTTAAGTTATTTTTACATGTAGATTTATTATTTGCGTATGTTAAGATGATAATTTTGCATTTAAGAATTGTTACTCCGATTTCCTTCACAATTTCATAAAATCTAGTCGTGGGCAACCTTCAAAATTCAATGCATATGGAAATTTTATTTGACATTATAAATGCTGCATCAAGGCCTAAACATCGTGATGCAAATGCATAAATCGATCGAGAGCTATCTTTAGACCGCAAACAATAACTTGTATTGTCAACCCTGTTTAGTGACTTCCGTCAGCACGAGAAAATTGATATTGATTTTTTTTCTAAGCTTATTCGATATTATTTCCGGAGAATAAAGAGTGCACATCAAGTACAACATTGCGTAACGTCTTTATAAGCGATAAACGATGGCTTGCATTCCCAAGTTTAAGCGCCATTGAAAAGTAGGATAGGTATTAGGAAGTGTAAATTATTTAAGATTTAATTTTTCATATCTTTTAACTCAGTCATTTTCAGTTTTTCGTAACTTTATTTATGGCTATTGAATTAGTTGCGTTTTATGTATTTTTATTCTGTTTGAGACACCGCGAAGTTCTTGCTTCATCATATTTATTTTTTTTTATAAATTTGCTTTTTCATGCGCAGTATCTCGTAAAATTACATCAGTTAACTTGACGGCCATGAATGTGATATGATGGGAAAAAAGATACAATTACGCCGATCGATCGCACGATATGCCATGCAAACTAGTTAGCAAATTAAAGCAAACCAATTAAATTAGCTATTATGAGGTGATGCAATAAAGTCAATAAATTTACATTGAAAATTATATATGTGGGTCGAACTGACTCATCTTTTTTTTTTTAAATAACATATAACGCGTAAATCTTTTTCGCGCGATATCGAATTTATTGCATCATCTCGCGAGGGAGTAATCTCAATAATTAAAGTCTATTAAACGGCTCTACGAAGGCATACAGGAATTACAATCTCGATCGATTCAGCGGACCGCATCTTGTTCAGCAGCAATCCTTATTTAAAGTGGAGCGGAAAAATTCCCTCATATAACAGTCAGTCGGTCAATGACGCGCGAATAGGATTCACTGGCCCGTCTATGACCGTATCCTGTGTAGGAGCGAAGCCGTAACACTCCGGCCGTTCGTGACACGGCAATTTGTATTCTGGTAACTTGAAGATTAGGTCACACTCGTGTGTGCAGTCCCGCTTTTCTAATGATTAAACTCCGCTGAAACGCGTGTATTTCCTGCCGTACGAGCATTTGACGTCGGAGATGCGCCGGGTCTCAACATCGCGAACGAACGAGAACGACGACGAATTAGAGCGAATGCCAATTAATCACCGTCCAATTATCGACCAAGCGAAATCGACGGAGTTCTTCGAAGAATTATAAAAGAGAAACATATCAAAACTACGTAATAATGTGGCGATAAGTCAGATTACCGAATACAATTAACGTTTCCAATTGAAAGTCGAATTTCGCACAGAGACTCAATGAATGCTCATTACATCGTTTAAAATAGCAGAAACCGTCTGCAATAAAAGCGACAGGTATCAAAAACTCGGTGACCGTGTCTCTAACGACACACTCTTAACGACGCGCGACTATTTGCGATTTGCACCTTGATGAATAACAGCCGGTTAGCCTATCTAGAACATCCGACGTATTTGCACGTCTAATTATGCAGGTTCCAACTAACGCGAGTGTCGGATATCGAAAAGTTTGCAAACACTACTCACTCGAATAGTCGACCCGTGATCGTTCTAATCAACAAGGCGAGGATGCCCATCGTTCAGGATCCAGCGATTGACACGATCGGCGTTGTTAATGACACAATTTATTCTTCGAGATCGACTTACGCAGCTCGATCGAGTTTCCTCCTCACGATCGGATCTCAACGCCAGATTCGCGGTATCTTTTTCAGTTTCGAATTACGGAACAAGAAATTTGCGTTCATCTCTCACGAAAATGAAAAAATTCGTTCCCTCGACGGCGAATTTTTTCATTTTCTGGAGCCGTGAATTTTTCTCGTTATTGCCTCTTTAGCGACGCGCGAAATTCGCAGCTAAGTCGACAGAGCATACCGACGTCTCATTGCACGACGTACTGGACAATCGGTCCTTCCATGCATTTCATTCGTAGACACGATTCGAGCCCGATAACTATGTCCGCCAGCTGACAAACCGATAATGTTGCAAGGGCAACGTCGTTAACGACAATTTTACGATGCACCGCGCCTGTTCGTTTATTCGTTATCGGAGAGTTTATTACACGCTCGTTTTATAACTCCGAGTGACGATAATGCACCGAAACTATTTTAACAATGTTTTTCCACTGCTTTGATCTTGACAGCGCAAAGAGCGGTAATTTATATACATATATAGTTAATTTTACATAACTAATTTTACATAGCTAATTTTATACATAGCATTAAAGTCGAAAAGTATTTAAATTAATACCAACATGCTATTTTTCTTCGAGCTTCTTAAAACTTTAATTTTTAATTCAGCCATCTGACAGGCACGATAAGCAAAGCGGCGGCTTACCATTTTATTGGAGTCAATTTGTAGTTGATCTAATCGATCTTAATATATTTCTATTTTATCTTGTTGAAAATTCCTCTCTTTAATCGTTTATAACACAAATCTTGATATCTTAACGTTTTTCTATTTTTCATACTTTTCACTAAACCTTTTCCGGGATAAATCAATTAATTAAAGCTCAGGAAGGTAAGGAGAGTGATAAGATAGTTCTGAGATAACTCCGAGATTGGTTTAACATGTTGTACATCGTTAAGTTCCGTAGGATTTATTTCAGAAGATGTAACTTTTTAACGCGAGTCCGAGTTCCCTTGCAATCGTAGATCTTGGCATATATCCGACTGGGAACGATATTATCTGTTCGCACACGCATACCTTTCGTGGTTCCTTTTAAAGCGTCGATTACGTAAGATTCGCTCTTGACTCGGCAAAGGTCGACATTGAAACCGGGTCTGAATGAATCGTGTAACTGGAACGCATTCAAATACGCGACGATTTTCCCCGGCAATTTCAATAAAACGGCGTATACCCACGTATAATTTAGTCGCACGCGTGGATTCTACCGTCCGTTTAGATGGAGATATGAGATTTTACCGACACCTGATCTCTCGTCAGGTCCGCGTGTCGCTCGCTTCTCATTTGGAATACTAGCGCGGCTGCATCACACATTTGCAATTATAATTTGTGCCCCATTTCTTTTATCTACCTAATTTCATTAATTTGAGAGAGAGATGCATACATTGATATAATATGTATATAGTAGGGTACATATTACGTGTACTGTTACCATCGCACGAGTACAGATGTGCATTTGATAAGGCTCTCTTCCTTGGGTATCTATTTAAAAAACTGATAATCAGTATTTGATATTCTTCTGCAAGTTGATTATATAGCGTAAACAAATCATTTATAAATATATTGCGATATACATTATATGATGTGCGTGATATGCTGATATGTGATATGTGTGATACGCACGTGCACACTAATAACATTTTAATTAAAGAGAAGAGAAAGAGAGAGAGAAAAGAAAGAAAGAAATAATCAAAAGTTTGACAGTAAGAACGATATAGTTTTTAATACAGTTTTTAAAAAATCTACTATATTATTTTTTTAAGTGCGCAGTCTAAATAAGCGATGGCGATGAGTTAAATGTCGGGTGTATCGTTAGTGTAGTTTTTATCGCATTATATGATATAATTGATGTACTAACTCACTGAGCTCATGACTGTGCCCAAGTGCCGATGAATCGCGTATGTTTTTTCAATTAAGATTTGTCACGCGAGGAGTCAATTGTTTCGAGCGAATTACCCACCCCAATTAATTAGTCAGACAACCAAGTTCGTGACTCGTCAGACTGAATTTACCACTTTGTATTCTGTCCCAATTAGTTACATTTATCTTATTCCAAATTCTTTCATACATTATACATCATTACATCATAGAACGCAATGAAATAACGCGTCAGTGATGTGGTAAATTATGATTAACTGAAAGAGTAATTTGAAATTACGGACCAATTTTTAAATTAAAATTTATTTAAAATTAATAGTAAAATTACACGGTTAATATTAAAATCACGTCGCGTGTTATACTGCAATTTGAATTCGCAAGAGAAATTACGATAATATGTATATATAAATAAATATCTACCACGAAAAGTGTTACTCGGGAACCAGTGGATTTCTGCAATCTACGAAAAGATGACTGTGCTTAAGGCGTGGGAGTAGATAAATTTGGGGAACTTAAAATTTTACGCCTCTAATTTACGAGATTTTTAACCGCACATCTGATAATTCGGCGAATACTGAACTCTCTCGTTGCATGCGTTTATTATTTCTTTCTACGTGTGCACCACCCACGTATCGTAAACACGTTGGCGGACAACAATAAGAGCATCGCCGAGAGAGCATTACGCAAGCGCTACCTTACACTTGCTTCTTCAATTACGGACCCTTATGCCATCTAAACCATTACTGTTGCGATGCTACAGTCGGGTACACAAATAAACAGAGATCGGAGAACGAAACGGGGAACCACCGCAATTGTTTCATCGTGGAACTATCCATCGGTTTTTTTGGCGATAGAGAAAAATTCGAGCCAGAGAGATAACAAGAAGATATAAATTTTTCATTTAAAAGTTCCGTTAAGACTGCAGTTCAAGCTGAAACATTGACGAACGTATCGCTAATTGATGGAAGTCGTCTCGCGTTCGCGTTCTCGCAATTGCGGGCTAGCTTCCGATGGTGCGACTCTCGAGAACATATCGCGACACGATTGTGGCGGCTGCAGTACGATAACAGATCAAACAGATGCGCCTGTTTGCATAGGACTCGCGACCGGTTTACGCAAAGCGTTATCGCGTGCAACCTGAGATGAGCTCTCCTCCGCGTAGTGGACCACACGCGAGCGATTCGGCACTGTCGGTACCCCCAGAGACGTCGCCGTGATATTTTTACACACTGGTCTCTCGGCCACGCTTCTCATCGTCACTTAACACCGTGCTAACAATAAGAAGCTAAATTCTCACTTTTCCGCGCTCGCGACTATTCCATATTAAAACACGACATGGAGAACGCGCTAATAGCGTCTTTCTTTTTAGTCTTGTACAAATTACACCATTATATCAATCAATTATACAATATATATAATTGACATGATTGTCCTATCGTATTAAAGACGAGATATCTTTAGAAGAACATGTTTTATATTGTTTTGATAGACTATCATGAGCTCTTTAATTTCACGCAATTTCATTTATTTATTCAGTAGTAAAAGTAAAAGAAGACTTTTACGGCGCTATTCTATGTTTTACACCCATTTTATCTCTTTTCCAATATTAGCGCCTAACTTTTTCCGTTGCTTCTCTGCTAGAATAAAGATTAAGTATTTTAAAATCGCTCGTAAGTGTCATAGTCATTACATTTTACAGTAATAAATGTTGTAACACTT